AGGTGACAATAAACCTAGAAACTCTCTCACAAACTCCAGTTTAAAAGTTAGCAGAAGATTAAGTGAAGCAGGAGAGAAACGGATGACAGCTGCACTGGAACCAGATGAAAATAGTAATGTAAAATAGAAAAGTTTTTACGCCCACTACTTAAATACTGTAAAAAAAAAAACATACCTTTTACAACATGTCCTTTCGTCATTTTTTTCTTTCCAATGTTTTCCTCGGGGCTCATTTTTCCCTACAAAAATAATAGTTAATATTATACTCCAATTGATAGTTTTTAGCTCACAAATTAAAAACATTTATACTTGTATTTTCAATTAAGTACAATAAATCAATACTGGAATCCTACACGGCTGAAAAAAATTTACAAGTGAAAAACCTCACACTTTGAATACCTGTTTGATTAGTAAGAAAACATCAAAATGTTATCTATACATCTTACATCCAATAATTTACAATTTAAGTTATTTTTCTGATGACAAGTGTGACAAAACATAACAAGATCAGGAATAATTTCAAACATGGCATTTTATAATTGGCCCAGTGCACATTCTGGTAAAAAAAGAATGTTTAACAGCATTTTCAAATATGAATAAATAAGAATAGAAAAGTAAAAACTGAAAACCTGCTAAAGAAGAGAATAATAAATATTATTATTATAGAATTCAAGTCTGAGTGTTACCAGTAACCTAAGTTATACTGCACCTGTTGAATAAGTACTTTTAGATTATTCAGATTCTTCTCTACTTGACTATGAAAGACCTATCAAACACAGATTAAGCAAGCCTGAACTCTAAGTTCATGTTGCAGTGTTTGTACCCCCCCAGGCAACAACATATAACTCTTTTAAAAGATGTCTCCATCACTAATTCGGGTTTGTCTAATATCTTTAGAATCTAGAACATTAAAGACTATAAATTTCAATACTTTCCATAACTTTTTATGTCTATGTGAAGTTGTGAACCCTGGCAGACAAACAATTTTAATTAGCCACTCTTTTACATTATGGCCATTTTACACTGATTAAAAAAATCAAAAAGAATAAGTATATATGATACTACAGAAATGTAAAAGTCACAAAATGCATAATGGTTTGAAAAATGTAGGACTGTATGTGGAACTTTTAATCAACAAGTATTATGTATTATGCTACATATATAATCCACAGTAAAAAGGCACTTGAACTAGAAGTTCACCTGTTTCACTGTAACTTGCATAGTGTCATTGGGATCCACAGACAAACCCATTTCCTCTAAGTTTTTATATACACTCTTCTTGGAGTTCCAAGCTTCTCTTATTGGCTGGCTGAAGAAAAAAAAAAGGACCATGAAGTGAAACACATTATGAAAACAAAAACATGAATAATTTTTTGACAAACATTATGTAAAACCGCTTGCGACAAAATATCTGGCTCACAGACACACACCCCAATGAAAGAATAGACCATTCCAAGCTTTTACTTGTTGTTAAATAAATGTTTAAACAACTCTATTCATACAAAATATTATTGTTTTAATTTTCAGTAAACTTTTTAGTCTAAATTATCAGGGCAGTTGTATCCTTAGAAATATAATGTTTATTGGATGTTACTAAAATGATGATGTATATGTTTATGTATCTTTCAATAGAAGTGGGGAACTCCAAAATGTTTGTGACTTAACCGAAAAGAAAGGTCTGTTGAAATTAATATCAGTTTTACTCTTAAAACCATTCAGGAATACAAATACAGAATAATAGGTGGAAAACAAAATTCAGCCCAACACAGCAAGTGTCTATGTGTAACTGGAAATTCAGCCCTACACAGCATCTTCATGTGACTGTGGAGGTTCAGCCCTACACAGCAAGTGTCTACATGTGACTGTGAAGCACACATATATTTACTTATTAAAAATGGACAGAAAAATGGGTTAGTTGATGATAAATATGATTTACTCTAATTGCTAGATATGGGTTTGTTTTGGGATGCTTGTTGTTTATATTATTGATTTGGATAATTTCTTGAAGTGTAATATCTCAAGCCTGCGATGGTTTTATTGTCTTGAAATTGTTACATATTCTACATTAAATCCTGTATGCTGAATCCAAAAATGATATCCATTTTTTCTCCATCACGTACAAATTTTTCACAAAACGTCATATGTACTTTTACATAAGTGAATCATTTTCTTTGAAAACGGGTCACATTTTGTTATACTTAAGATGTTGACAACCCCCGGCTATGGATTTCTCAAGACCAATTGCGACATGCGAGTCCTATCAATCATTTTAGAACCATGCAAAACACACCACTAGTATATAAATGGTTAATAGGCCACATGACATGTCATTTCTGGATAGTATTTGTTTGTGCGTGCACTTTGATATTTTTTTCTTTTCAATATTTAGCCCCCCAGTGGCACAGTGGTATGTCTGCGGACTTACAATGCTAGAAACCGGGTTACGAAACCTGTGGTTAGCAGTGCACAAATAACCCGTTCAAAGAAAGTCAAAAGATTTTCTCCTAGTGAAACCATGTTGATTATTCAACAAAATGAATTTGCAAAGCATCTTCTACGAGACTTTAAAAAACTATTCCCATCACCAATATAAAATCAATAGCTATATAATTGCCTGTAGAATTTGAAAAACAAAAATAAAATTAACCACCTTCCAATCTTCTGGCACCTGCCTACCATTTCTTACAACAACAATACTGAAACACTTCATCAACAAGAGTTTGTTTGTTTTTTGAATTTTGTGCAAAGCTAAACAAGGGCTATCTGTGCTACCCATTCCTAATTTAACAGTGTAAGACTAGAGGGAAGGCAGCTAGTCATCACCACCCACCGCCAACTCTTGGGCTAATCTTTCACCAAAGAATAGTGGGATTGACCATCACATTATAATGCCCCCATTGATGAAAGGGCGAGCATGTTTGGTGTGACGGGGATTCGAACCCGTGACCCTCAGATTGCGAGTCAAATGCCCTAACCACCTGACCATCATCAAGGGGCAATACTCATACATGATTATGTGAAGTGAGTATATTTTGAGAATCCAGTATGGACCACACTGTTAAGAGACAGACAGTAAGAGAGACTATGATAGACATCTCCCCACAGATAGGGTGTCAAAGAATGACTGCTACATTTTATGCATTCAAAAATCCAGGTGTCCAAAATTACAGTAAGAACAAACATACCTATTGTCATTTACTTAGCTTTATAATATGTTTGTAGAAAATAGACACACTTGTGTTCTAAAACATGCAGAAAAAAATGCTGCATTTTGATTTCGGTCATAATTCCCTTGACAAACAAATTTAAACTAATTTTGTCTCTTGTCCCATATTCTGTTTGTGGGGAGAGAAAATTCAAAATTTCTCTTCTTTTTCAATGTAATATAAAAAATAACTTGACCTGACTAAATCAATTCTTTGTGTTAATAAAGAAGAAATACATATACACACACACACTTTCCCCACGAATCTAAGTGTGAAATTCAGTTTTGATCTCAACTCTTTTTCATGCTTAGGCCTTCTTCTTCTTCTTGCTCAAAAATAGAAGGGACCCCGAGTACGATTTATACGCTACAGTGATAGTAAATGTAGCTACGCTGTAAAATAAAAGTACAAATACATATGTATAAAGTCGTGTTTATACTTATAATTACAATCTTCGTCACTTATGATATTATGTTAAAACTTAAATTAAAAGTAGAAACACTAGATCAAACTTAGGACAGTCAAGCTTAAGTATACGAATATACTTATGTAATAATACTAGTACAATTACCAGCTTATTTTAAGCCCTTTAGAGTTGATCATCTTTCTGTGTTTTTTCTTCTTGTTTACACTGTAGTTGTATTTTTTGCTCTTTCTTCTAGCTGTTCCTCTTGCCTTCCCCATTTTTAAATGTTTAAATTAATTTTATTCACACCAACATCTACCCCACGTGGAAAACGTTTTTTACGTGCCTTGTATGATTAGTTCCAATTGTAGCTATAGGTGGACAATTATACTTCTCGCATATTTGTATGCAATGATAAAAACAAATTGGTATACTTTTTTTTACAGCTTCTGTTTCCATTTCGTGTAAAAAAAAGGGGACTACTAACAAATCTTAATATTGTTTGATTAAATTTATTGCATGGTGATATTTCATACTGTAATCATTTGCTACACATTTGTTCAAAACGTCTATTATTAAAACTTTCCTATCTATTGTAAGCTAATTGTGTTGTCCACAACTGAAATGAGACCTGGCATAGCCTGGTAAATAGAGCGCTTGACTCACAAACCGTGGGTTGCGGGTTCGAATAACATTACCGAACATGCTCGCCCTTTCAGCCGTAGGGGCGACATAATGTGGTGGTCAAATCCCAAATCCGATTAGAGTAGTCCAGTGGCGGATCCAGAGTTGATCGAAAGGGAGGGCAACAACAAGGCGCGAAGGTACCCGCTAGCGCTTAT